GGGGCGGCGCGGCGCGGAGCGGAGCGGAGCGGGTGTCCCGCCCCGCGCCGCCTCCCGGGGAGCTCCGGCCGGCGGGAGCCGCCGCGAGCCGGGAAGGGGCGCGAGCGGCCGCAGCCTCCGCGCTCGTCCCGCCGCTGGAGCCCTGTTCCCGATCCCGCGAAACAAGCGCYGCAGCTTTCCCGGTGGAAACGGCACGCGGGCCTCCCCTCCGCTTCACCCGCTGCGCGCGGTGCTGCCGGGACCGGCGCAGTGGCGGTGCCACGTGCAGCGCTCCAAGGAGCCCCGCGCTGCCTTCCCTGCTCGCACCCGGAGCACCCRCCTGCGTGCCTGGGACCCCTGGAGCCCGTTCTCCAGGTCACCCATGGAGCCTGCATCAACCCCAGGCAAAAAAGTCAGGCAGCTGCTGTGCCGAGATCTCTGCCCCTCACACCCGCTATCGGCACCCTGCTTTTTGTCCCCTTGCCCAGTTTGCTTTGCATCCGTTTGTGCTTTACGCACCAACTGGGTGCGAGGTTACATGTTTTTATTTTCCACACATGTTGTGGTCGAACYGGGAGAGCTTTAGTCTCTGCAAGGGTAGCAGTGCAAACGTGACACCTGCAGAGCAGCCTTCCCACCCCCTGCCCTCCTTTACGCACATCCTGCCCGCGGGAGAGGGGACACCCCTCCGGCAGGTCAGGCCTTGTCCATCGGCCAAGGCCGGCAGCTGAGGGCCCACTTCCTTACAGCTCTCAGTAACATGAAAAACAAAGTGGAGTGAAGAGCACCCACCGACTCAGGCTCGTATCCACTGRGCCGGGGAGAGGCACCGTTACCCTAGACCTGGATGAGAGACTGGGAAAAGTGCTTTCTTGCATCCCTTGACACACCCTAGACGTTACCATCGGAGAGAGGAAGCACAAAGACACTCTTGAGCTTCTTGGTTGAAGCAACTAGTGGTTTTTCAGATCTTTTATTACAATATCATTATTCTTCAGCCTAAAAAACGATGTATACAACTTCTGGYTTTATTCCAAAAGCACTTAGTTAAAAGTGATTTTATATAACATACACAGCTGCGTCATTTTCTCAGCTTGCTCTCTCCTCGTTGACTAAACCTGCAAAACCAGAAACCCCTGTGTAGTCTCACACAGTCCTTTTCCTCAGACATCAAACTACTTCCATACCCTAATGGGTTTTCTCTGTACACGGGGATGACCCAGCAGTGGTCCTGAAGCTGGCATGCAGCTGCACCAGCGCTTGGCAGGGCTGCCAAGGCCTCCGTGCGAGTGCCTCCATACGCACGTTTATTTAGCACGACTGTTCTTTGCAGCATCTCCTCTGCTACGATGCAGAGGATGAGGAGCTGCCGCCGGCGCTGGCTCTTCCCCTTCGTTCCTGTGCCGCTTCCCAAGGCACGAGGCCGCTGCAGGGGCCTCAGGGGGCCCCGCCGCCGCTTACGCTGCTGTTTCAGGCTAGCTTAGCAGTTGCTGCTCTGCAGGGAGCCACGTACCAGGACTGCCAGGAACGGAGCCCCACGGCCAGGTCACTGCTCCCAGGCAAAGGACGGGCTGAGGACCCCGTGGCGCTGCCAGGCAGACAAGCGGTGCGTGGGAGCGGTGATCCCAGAGCACATGGCTTGCAGCTAAGGGGGCCTGCACAGCCGGGCTCGGTGGCAGCAGCCCCACGTCCCTCTTTTCCAGCAGAAAAAGCTGAGGTCCCTGAGCAAACACACTCGGCAGGAGGAACTGAACGTCTCTGGGTGGCAGTGAACAGGCTGCTTCTCATCAGGCCCCTCCTCTCAACTCAGAGACCACAAAGCGTTTCAGAAACTCCATTCACCATGGGCTGAGCAGCCTCTGGTTGGTGAAAATCAGTTAATTTTAATTAATAAATCAGTGAAGAGGTAAATAAATGAGACTGTGACTGAACTCAAAATGAATAATGTGAGGAATAGCTGCCATTGTGTGACTGAAGACTCCTGAAGCAGACTGAAGGAGATAAGGAAAGGCATGTAATGGCTGGGAGAAAGATAAGCAAATGCTGGGGCGAGCAGAGGAACTACCAGCCTCAAAAAAAAAAAAAAGAACTAGAAAAGATTATGGAGGGGGAGCAGAACAAAGACTCTGTGAACATCGGGAGCAATGAAGAGCTGCATCTATCCCTTCAAATACTTTACCTAGGTTCCCAATGGTCCCAAGACATCTGGCTGAGCGCTTCTTAGCAGGGGCTCAGTTTTGCACGGCTGTGCGTGCACCCAGAGAAGCCAATGTGTCGAGGATGGACTGTCCTTATGTCGGTTGCCCAGTGCTGTCTGCTGACCACTCCAACCCAGCACTGCAGCAAAATCACTGCTGCTGCTGGCTGCTCCCTTCTGAGGTAGGTGGTTCATGTGTGCAAGGAGAACTTGTCCTTTTGACAGCCCATTACAACCTTGCTTTAGAAACTAGATGTAAACTTCAGGAGAAAACAAAAAGTTCTTAAGCTATCTAAAAAGGTTAYCCCCAAACCCAGCCACTGCTTCTGTCAGGGAACACACAGTATGCCCAGTGCCATCACGCATGTGAGAAAACGCTGCTGATCTGTCAAAAATGGAAAATGGGCAGGTATCTCTCCCTGTTGAGCAGGGCTCACAGTTCAGGCACTGTGACTGCAATTACAAAGGACCTAATAAAAAAACTCCAATAAAATTAACAGAAAGCTCCATCATCGACTGGATGGGATTTAGGATTATCCCGAGTCCCAAAACCCCAAGTGCCTACGTCCCTATTCCAAGCACCAGCACACCTACTCCATTAGCTACCTGGCATCTAACATTCTACTCAATGTCCTTAGGGCAACAGTGTAGGTGGGTCCCACTGTATGGGAAGATTTTTAAAGTTAGCCTATGGCTGCGCTCTGTGCTTTTAGTGTAAAGGACAAGAAACCTTGGAAAACTAGAAGGAAGGTACCCAGGTCTTCAGATTTCCACAGAGATCTGTCCAAGGCACTAAGAAAACCACAGACACCTCTACAGTTCTGTTTTCAACCGCTCAGAAGTAATCTCTTGGTAGTTTTTCTTCCTTTTCACTTTGTAAGTCAGGGTTTGGGAGTACTCGGTCAGCAGATGCTCCCAGTAGCAAGAGACATCCTCCATCTGCAAGTGCTCAGTGATGAACTGGCGTCCCCTGGAGACACAGGAGGCACAGTCAGAACCAACCCTCAGTTGGTACAGGAGCCTGTGGCTTTGTTTTATACGTCTATCAGCTCTTCTGTTTCTCAGTGTGAAACACCACACATTGCTTTGTACTATCGACTTGGATTTCACAACTTGCATTTATTCTCATCGCTCCAAAACTTGCAATGCTTTTGTTGTCCTCAAGATGGTATTTGCTACTTGAAGTAATATTTATTATCTCAGATACACCCCGAACAACAGTGGTTCATGCTGCTTCAGAAGCCAGTCACTGCCAGACTGGATAGATAATATTTATAATTATATAGGGCTACAAAGACGATCAGGGGCCTGGAGCATCTGTACTGTGAGCAAAGGCTGAGGGAGCTGGGCCTGTTCAGCCTGGAGAAGGCTGAGGGGGGACCTGGTCAGTGTGTATAAATACCTCAAGGGAGGCAGTGAGGAGGAGGGGGCGGCCTCTTTTCAGTGGTGGCCAGCGACAGGACTAGAGGAAACGGCCACAAACTGAAGCATCAGAAGTTCCACAGGAACTTAAGGAAAATTTTTGTGACAGCGAGGGTGACAGAGCCCTGGCACAGGCTGCCCAGAGGGGCAGTAGTCTCCTTCTCTGGAGACCTTCCAAACCTGCTTGGACACAATCCTGTGCTACGTGCTCTGGGTGACCCTGTGTGTACAGGGGGGTTGGACTAGATGATCTCTAAAGATCCCTTCCAACCTTAACCATTCTGTGATTCTATGATAATGCAGACATGGTTCCCAGGGGTCAACTTCTTTCATATTGAGGCCAAAAACTTCTTATAGTGTTCAGTGGGATTCCTGACATGGATCACATCTGAACTGAAGATCTAAACCACAATCTTGTTTTCCTGTTCCCCATTACAAGTTCTCCAATGCCCCTGCTGTTATTACAGAAGATAAATATACTTTACCCTATTAGTACTAGGCTGTCTTTGATAGGTGCTTCAGAAAAAGAGTTCCTGACAGACAGACAGATGGGAAATACAACTTACCTCTCTGAAATCTCTTGTGCTATGGCATCATTTTCCTTCACAAACTGCAACAGCTCCCTAAAACGGGGACAAAAAAATTACTGACAGACACGCAGCTCAGCAGCACTACTGCAGAGGAGGAGGAGGCTAAGGATGTAGGAGCGCACGCGGGGCGGGGGCTCCTCCTTCCAGAGCAGGGGGGCAGGTGCTGTTTGTCTGTCACGGCCCCAGACATCGACGTCGGCCCGTGGAAGCCGATGCGCTCAGTCCGATGCCACGTACCCGGGCGGCACGGCTGCTAGCAGCAAGTGCCTGCTGAGGTCAGGGTGCCCCAGTGCCGCGGAGAAACTCGCACCTTCTAAGCAGTAAGAGCAGGAGATGTTTTGGGGGTGGTTACGAAGAGAACAGAACAGGACCTCCACAGGCCCCTGCTGTCATTCTGAGCCTAACACCAACCAGTCCCGCTGTCCACGCGGGGCAGGGCTTCCCTGCAGCTGGGCGCGCGGGGTCTCACACCTGGCATCGGAGAGGTCGGGCTTCACGGGGACGTAGTGCACCCAAGGCTTCAGCTGAGGGTAGAAGAACTCCAGCCACTCTTCWCCCACGTGGAAGACGAGCGAGCCACACAAGAAGAGGTGCTTGAGGCGGAAACTGGCAGCCACTCCACGGAAATTAAACAGGTACCTTTAAAAGTACAAGCAAAGGCAGGGACCCCATTACACCTGCCCCTTTACAAGGGAAGGCTACCTGCCCTACTAAGGAATTGGCCTCCAAGTGATAGGTCAGCTCTGTCTCACAGATAACAGGTAGGAGGGTCTCTCTCACACTGAGTTAAGCATCTGTCACTAGAAGAAAGAGAAGAAAAACTTTTGAAGCTCCCCAGTGTAAATGCAAGCTGAAGTTAAGGATGTGCTCGGTGAGCTCCTGATACCTGTCAACATAGAGGGAGAAAGTTCAGAGGTGAAGCTTTAGCTCCGATACAGACATCCACGGGTGACAAACCAAAGGAGACCTCCCAGGCCACAGCAAAAACAGCACGGAGGGCCACAACTTTGATGCTCTCCCTGTGATTCTACCCTACTCCGGGATTCTACTCCCACAGGGAGCTCTTTTCCCACACCTTTGCAATGAACTTATTTTGATCATGGTTCTGCTTTGACATTATCTATCCCAGCCTTTCTTCCTCGCCTTCGGGTCCCCCTGCTTTAACCTGAAGGGAAGCAATATTAACTTGGGAATGAAAACACAGGGGATGAAACAGGCTAGCACAGAATAGATGACTCTGCTGATAAGAAAGAACCAACAACTCTGTTTTCCCRTATTTTCTGCCAAATTGGTAAAATGGACTTGCATTTGGGAGAAGGAGATTTTTGTTAGCAAACTGTATCTCAGAGGCATGTTTGTTTATTTGCTTGTTGACTTTTTAAATTATTTTTTCTCTATTAATCTATAAAGCTGTTTTTCCCATGGGTAAAAACCCTCGGTACAGGTATCTTTGAAGCCACACATCTGGGGCTGGGGAAAGGGACCTCTCCCTTTAATGCAGCTGCTCTGGGCGTGATGGGATTATAACGAAGCTCAGGCCAGCACTCGGTGGAAGGAAGCAGATCTACAATTACTCTGCATTATGTTACTGTGGCAGCACCCAGGAGCTGAAGGCAGGGCCGAGGAGCCCATTGTGTTAGGAACTGAATAAACACTTAGGGACGTGACAGGAACAGTGGTCTGGAAGCGAGGAAATGGCTCCATCCAGCTCCAGACCCTGCTCCCATCGTTGGGGCCCGCAGCCAAGTCACTGCAGGGCTGCTTTCAGACAGGCTGGGAGGGCATCTCCAYTGAGGGAAGCAGGGAGAAATTCAAGTGGAGCCGACCAGACGCTGGCTCTGCCAACTCCTCCGCCGGAGAGCTGTGGTGGGTCGTGTGATCACAGCCTCTCTATACCTGTGTTTTTCTACCTACAGCCTAAACTGCATAATGCAGGACCACTGTAGGGCTAGCCCATGGATAGAGCCCATACTGCTAACAACAATTATGGATGATGGCTCCTACACTGGGCCATGACACAAGGATGGGAGGACGTCTCAGGCTGTTGTGTTCCAAGGGGCTTAGGAGGCATCAGGTGCTGCAGACGTCTGTGTATCAGGAGGGAAAAGTCAGGGGAGCAGCCGAGCAGAACGTAACATGAGAAATATTTGTCACGTTTGCACAAAAACACAGATCCAGTCAAATCACCAAGTTCTTCAATCAGCAGATTCTAGCTGGTAGAATCATCACTAAACTATTCTAAAACAAAATAAAATTTCTACAACAGACATATATACATGCCAACCAACAGCATATATCTTTCTACAAAAGAAAACTAAAAAAGGATGAAAATAATATTAATAGTAATCCTTTACACAATCAAAACCATATTTCCCCAAAGAACACGAAGCGCGAATGCTGCTACTTGCCCAGTCATACTCCGAGCTCTCTTTCATTTTATATGTATATCCAATGGCAACACTTACTTGCACATGCACATCAAGGCATTATTCCTTAGTTCCTTGTGTCTTTGAAGATATTAATGCTATGACTACAATACCAAAAAATAACTCACAGCTGTTGGCATAGGAATTGAAAGTAAATAAAAAAAAAATCAAGTCTTTTTGACTAGGAACTTTGTAAAAATAAGTGCATTTTCAATCTATATTTTTCTTTATTAGTGATATAAGATCTTGGCTTTCCCCAAAGCACTTTGTTTCTCCACACATGATGGGGAAAGATGACACTGAAATTGGCCAGGCTAAGCTCCCAAATCGCCCCTACGTTTGTAGGCTTGCATGCTTTGTGCATGGAATTTGTTGCAGGAATTATATCTTAAGGGGAGGGGAAAAAAAGAGCGAGAGAAACACAATAGACTGCACAAGCAAAGTAATAAAACATAGCCCTTGAACAGTTTTACTGATCAAGACTCTTACTTGTATTTGCAGTGATCAACCAGTGGAATTTCCTTTGCAGGAGGTTTCCCTAGGGTGTCCTTAAAATAAAGAGAATTTTAAAAATACATTTTATACAGTGATTTTATATTTATTTTCCTTCCAAGTTAACTAGAAATAAGCTGAAATCCCAAATCCTCCCAGACCCACTTACAAGAAAACCTTTTCTGGTGGGTTTTTAGAAGTGTTGTAAAGGATTCCCAGGCCTTCAGCTGAGGAAGAAAAAGTTCAGTAAGAGTAATGATGATGTTAAGTTGGCAGCTACAGAGCTGAAAGCTGGACAATGGACTGTCTGAAGCCAAACGTAGCTGGATTAGCCAAGATTGTCTGGAGAGAGCTGGACTGAGGAGTAACTATAAAACTAAAAGCTTATATGTAATAGTTACCAGAAAGTTGTCAGCAACTAGACAAAAAGATAGAGATGAAAAGGAAAGGCTTTGAAGACAGGACAACACACAGGCAATCAGTGTCTGAGGGAGAATGCTAAGTTAACGGTGCAGCARTGAAGGTGGTGAGGATGGATAGGGAAGGGGCAAGCACTCCTCAACAGCAGGCTTAAAACTCAAGAGAGTGGAGAGACACCCCAAAGCTGAAGGACAGAGCCTGCAATCTTCCTAAACCCCTGAGGTTTTAAACACTTCAGAATCCAGTAAATAGTTCACTCAGCCCTATTATATGGCCTTAGTCTCTTATTTCACCACTACAAGGGGGCTGTACTCTATTGTTTCATTTTCTTAACTGTTCTAGCTTTCTTGAACAAAAAAATGTCGGTGGAAAAAACAGTTGGCCTGCGAGGCTCTAGAGGCTGCTTCCTCTCACCCACCAGAGCTGTGGTCATGAGCAGAAGCACAACCCTCCTCCACCCTAGAGAAGCATCCACAGTTCTCCACAAGATGCATCCCAACCACCAAAGCCATCTTGCAAGGTCCTTTGTGGCTTGCACCCGCAGAAGACAGACAAAGCACACACACCTTCTCAGATTTCCAGGCCTGGTTTTTAGTGTACTCGGCATCCACGAGTTCTGGGTTTTCTCGGGACAGCAGAATGAGGGGATCTCTCTCAGGGCTCGTTCTGCAAAAGAAACGCCACCGTTTTCAATCCATCTGACCCTACACAGCTAACAAAATTCAAGACTCTTCATGAGGGTGACCTTTTACATCCCCAGAAAACACTATTCAGTGCCTATCATATAGGATACTTCTGTCCATGGGTGTATTAACAGAAGAGTTATATGTACTGGAATGACTTGGGGCCATGTTTATTTTCTTCACTTACAGTAAAAGACCAAACATGTAATAGTATTATTTAAGCAATTCCCAGGACAACTCAGCAGAGATTTTCTCTTTCAGACTTGACCTTACAGGTACCGAATAGTTTAAGTCCCCTTCCCAAATCAGAGGTTGAAGAGATGCTAAGCATCTTTGGTGTTGATCTGCTYGACACAAACTAATTCAAATCACTACTACCAATGAGGTTATGAGTTCCATGAGATCTCCTGAGCCTACCTATTAAGAGTTAGATATCAAGTCCATCCCTAAAACCCAACTATATGGAGAAACAAGGACAAACAGGGGTTAACATCATTTTCAAATTGTCACTGGAGAGAGGGAGAAGGTCTACTCCTCTCTTACCCCCAACTCTCAGGTAACTAATGCAAGAACCCTCGCTGAATCACTGCAGAGCACTTTCGTAGGGAACGAAGAATTCACACTGTCAAGAAGCTGGCAGAGCAATACCAAATCTTCACATTTGTATCATGCAYCTGCAGGCCCTATCACAGAAGGAAAGAAGTTGGTTCCTAGGTGGACAGTTTTACTCATTAAGAAATAAAGCAGCAAATTCATCACAACTTGTTCCTAGTATTAGACTTATTATGAGAAATAAGCTGCAAATGGCGGCTCTTGAGGAGCATCATTGGTGGTGAAACGCTGCTGCACAAAACGTCACGCTCTCCTTTTAATAATCTGCTCTAGGTTACACTTGCTTAGGTCTTGGTGATACAAAAATCTGCATCTACAGAGAGCTGGCATGGCATGTCCTGGCAGGATCTCCTGCTGCAGTTAAATATACTCACCTGGATCCGCGGAAATATGCCTTGGAGATTTTTTTCATCCATGGCCATTTTTCTGCAGATCTGAAAATATTTTTTATACGTGGCAGTAAATGATTTAATAAAACCATGAAACAGCGCTCATCATCAATTTTCACAGCATGATCTCATTTTATTATTCTTCATTTTTAATGGCAATCACTTTCTTCATTATATCAGAAAAAAGAATTCTCAGCCAGGTCCAATGAAACAGGTTTTCCTGTGAATAATTCTGTTCAAAGCAACATGATATAGACTACTTTTCAGAGTCACACTAAAAAGAATAAATTACACACAAAAACCCTTATCAAATCTTTGCTTTAAGAAAATTCATATTTTCCAAAACTTTGAATATTCCTTTTACATTGCTGCTTTACTGCTCCTGGTTTCACTGAATACGCATAGTGCAAAATGCCTATATGGAATTTCTAACTTTTCTCACGTTCCTCTATTTACAAACAAAATGCTGTTTTGTGTTTAAAACACACGGGCTTGTTGTTTCTCTAGGTAACTTTAAATTTAAAGTAAATCCTTCAAAACAGTTCTCACATGCTTTGTTTCCCCCTCAGGGGATTTTTTATTATTATTTTTTGCACCTGGACTGATATGTAGGTCCTGATCCTCAACCTCACCTGTGCAGGTTGATCTTCGCCTCTGTATGTAACCCAGAGATGTCAGGAAATGCAAAGATAAGTCAATGCTTTGGACCTTTTCTATATGACGTTATAGCACATTGGCATTCAAATATGATTAATCCCAAAARTCTTCAGATGTCTTTTGGACGTATACGGCATTCTGATATCAGCCAACATGTATTTTTTTTTTTCCTGTTGTGTTTCTATTTTCATTCACTGTTACTACTCTTTGTATGTCACTTTTCAGGAGAAACAGCTCCTGATTCTGCTAACAGTCAAAGATTTGTCAGCCGACAGACTTCCTGTCAGAAACATGTTCCGTCTTACTAGCCCATCTGAGCCCAGTCATGGCTCTTGCTCCCTGGGAAYGACTCCAGGTTTCTCTGTTCAAAACTGCAGCCCTCAAGTGAGGGTAAATCTAAGGAAGGCTTTTCCTTCACCCTTCCAGAAGCTTACACAAATGGTTTGGATCATCTCTGCAGTGAAGGAAAAACATAGATCCTGCAGAGGTAGCTGGAAACAAAGGAAAATATTCCCACCTGTCAGGGAAGATTTTTGCAGGCGAGTGATAACAACTGCTTCTTTAATGACCAACTCTATCCCACTGAAAATGACAGTAATCGGGCTAAAGGGCTGGAAATAGAGAAGCTAACTGTAACTTTTGGCTGCACCACGCAAAGCTTCCATGAGGAATTCTCATGCAGCACTTAGGCTGCACGTAGTTTACGAGACGCAGCAGATTGGACCCCAGGACTTCAATATTGCCCCAGAGCTTCCAGGGGGCTAGAAGACTTTGACCAAGACATGTTCCTCGTTGTGCCTCCCCACCCAGCATCTTCCTTCACACAACCTACCTCCTCAGGTCCTCTCTCATGAGATCCCAGCGCCCTAAACCTGTTGGGTAAATTGGCCAAACAGCTGGTCCTCCTTCCCAAAATGTCCACGCAGGATACATTATATCACTGTATTCWGGTGTCTTAAGAAAAAAGGAGATTGTAGTTAAGAGCAATCTAGGAGTACGAGTAACATTTATCTCAGTTTTCTGAATGACTCAGTCAGCAAAGGAGGCCTCTTTCAGGAATTCTGTCTGTTTTTTCTGTCGCTGTCTTATAACCAACCACTGGAGCTCTCTGATCACTACTGTATTGCTGGGGATCACACCGAGACAACCCCAATAGAGAAAAGCAAGTGTTATTTCAGCAGGTATATTTGATGATTAGTCCTGCTCTGAACGGGGCACTAGAACAAATGACCTYCTGAGGTCCCTTCCAACCTAATTTCTRTGAAACTAAAAGAAGCTGCAGCTTGCTGCAAGACAACACGTGATTTTCATGCTTTTGAATGGTAAGCCAGACATCCAGAGGGTGGCTGTTTTCTTGTTGGTTTTCAACAACTATCAAAGTTTTCTTGGGGATAAATAATTCAGTTTGGTACCATGCCAAGTTGTTATCAGTGAGAGACGAGTCAAATTCTGGCTTCACTTACTCTAATTTTCCTCATCATGCCTTCCTGTCAGCAAGCTAGCAGAGCTGCTCTTCCACTGCCGAGAAGGCATTTGCTTATGGAGCTCAGCTGTGTGCATGGGAGAACCCGAAGAACCAGGTTTGCTCATGCACGGGACCAGAAGGCGAGGGGGGATATAACTGCTGTCTTCTACCACCTAACAGGAGGGTTCAGAAAAGGAACAGGCAGAGTCTTTCCAGAAGTGCACTGAGACAGAATGAGAGGCAAGATACACTGATTATAACACAGGTAATTGCAATTAGGGATCAGGAAACATGTTTTCCCTGACAGAGAGGTCAAATGCTGCAACAGGTGCCCAGGAAGCCTGTGGAATCCCTGTCCTAGCAATGCTCAGAGCTGAGCAGGATGAGCCGCAAGCACCGTGAGCCAACTCATGAGCAGGCTGCTGGACCAGAGAACCAGCTCTCCTCCTCTGGTCCCTTCTAACCTAAATGAGTTTGTGCTTTTGTAATCTTCTCCTTTTTGGACACATTGTATTGGCATTGACATCAAACCATGGTAACTCCAGACATCACCCTAGCCCTCTGGGTCTTCCAGGATGCACAATAAGCCTTAAATCCCTTATGCTTTTGGCATCAAACCTAAGCCTCCTCCTTCTGGCAGAGGCTACCGCTGGCTGTTTACGTGGGAGCYGGGTCTGAATCACTCCATTACACTTAAGGCCAGGGCCGAGGTCACAGCTCAGATATTGARCAATAAGGAATGGAGAATTCTGTGTCCTGCTGGGTCCTGCAAACCTCCTGGGACAGGTTGATGAATATATCTGTGAAGATTAAGCTACTGCAGCCTATTCTGCAGCTACTTGAGTCCTGCCAACGAGAACTAAGATTATGTTAGGGTCAAGGAGTGACACAGTTTTACTACTGGATCCTGCAGTGACCACAGTTCTTGAACGACAGTGCTTGCAAAGCTGTAGCAAAATCTGCACAGATAGTTTTAGGATGGCTTGGAACTACTATGTAATGACTATAAATCATATGAGGGTTTGGACTGCATGGGCTAAAGACCAGGGTTTAGAGTAACTTGTACTTACAAGTTAGCAGAAATAGACAGGGCTCCCAGTTAGTAAAAACAAATGGTTTATTGCTTCATTCTGCATCTGTTATAGCTTGCAAGGGCAAACCCTTTCAGTCAAGAAAAGGACTGGGATTAGGGCTACACAGTATTCAGAATTTGAGCACGTTGGACCACCCTGAGCCAGAACAAGATTTGCTCAAGCATGAGGTGCATGTATTTTGATAAAAAGGATGGGACACTATGATTATGGGACAAAACTTGAGCTTGCCAATGGCAGAGGCAAGAGAATAGGCAGTACAGCTCTGCAGTCTGGCAAGGGAGAGATAAAGAGTGTGTGTGTGTGTGTGTGTGTGTGTGTGTGTGTGTGTCGATGGAGAAAAGAATATGGGGAAAAGGGTTAACAGAAGACAAAACTATCACAGAGAAGAATATGAAAAACATTTATCAGTGGTAGCAAGGGAGACCCCAAATTTACATATTAACTCAGCCTATCTGTATGACAGCTGACTGAGGATCACAAATATTCTGAGCTACAGGTCTAACAGAGGCACCGTAGCGAATCGGTGATGCTGGCACACATCTCATCTAGCTGGGCAGCACTCCACCATGACAGAGGTATTTTTGACCTGGAAAAGGAGCTAATGAGGGGTAAAAACTGTTCTATTGAATAAGCCTCCAAGTCACTGTGCTAGAAAACTAAAAGCGGGAAGAAACATAACATAATAGCAAAAAAGAACAAACAATTTTGATGCAAAGGAGATCTTTGAAGGATTATCTTCAAAGACACAATCCAAAGAAAAAAGAGGATATAGGTCTCAGAACTGCCCAGCATGTGAACCCCTCACCTTACTGAAAGAGAAGACTGGGATAAGAGGCTTCATCCACTTGGGGACCTGGGGGTAGTCTCGCACATTGATCACCATCTCCATGTCTGGGAGTCGGTTGATGATCCCCAGAAGGAAATGCTCCACTCCACTGCATCTGTGGAAAAATGACGTGTAACAAAGCACAGCAAGGAAAAGGCAGGTTCCTGGAGTCTCTTGAAGGCTTTTTGCAGTTTGTGTAGAAGCAGGGAGAGATGGTGAATCTGAACCATACCTTAATTCAGGTTGGACCTGCCTATAGCAGCCACTGAGCTACAGCACAGCACAGATGGCAGTGAAGCCAGCCACCTCGCTACACCAGCCCTAATCCACCGCTGTCTCTGGGATCCCACATGTATCTTATCCTGTGTACAATAAGGTGCTATAGGGATTTTTACTTCTTACCTACATTTCAGTCTCATATTTAATCTTGTAGGCTCTGACCCTGCTCAGGAATTCAGAACTCGGAAATATCATTTGTTCAATGACTTTTAAACTTGTCAGGCTTGGAAACACTCTTGTGTCCTGGCTAGGGAGACAGGATATTCCACAAGACTCTCACCTAGCAGGGAACATGCAGTCATGCTCACGATATAACTTGTTCTTAATGATTTGGTAGTGTGTTCCAAGCTTCCGGCTCACCACATCTGAAATCATCTCCTTGGAAATGCCACCTTGAAAAGGAGCCAGGTCCTGCTTCCAGACGCTGAAACAGAGCAAATATCAACCACCATTAGGCACAGCAGGGAGGATACTGCATATAAATTACTGCAGCATACAGGAGAGGCTCTATGGTAAGCTCAGCGCAGCTTCCAGGAGCTCCTCTTTTACACGTGGTACAACAGAGGATTCAATTTAGCTCACACCAAACAGATGTTACTCAGAGACCATAAGGTCCAGGCTTTGCTCTCTGATGATCCACCTGCTGTCTGCCTGAAGAGAAAGCCTGACACGGGGCTCGGCAGTTCAGTCAACACAGCCAACTCCAGTTATTCTCCTGGAAAGCACCTTACACATTCTGGCACAASTAAAAAGTTTTCATCTTATTTAATGCTGGAGTCCTACAGCTTGAGCTCTGGCCTTCCACGAAGCAAGACCAATTTCCTCATACAGTATCATGCTATTTGGCCACAAAAATATAAGTTAAGAGTCAGTTCCAAGAAGCAGCACTATCGGGTCACGCTATGCTCAGTGAAAGCCAGTCCAGAGCACTGAGCCTAAGCAGAGTGCACTCCGTGACACCTGCACACCACCAGGAACAAAGTATGAAAACACAGACTCAAATGTATGTAATACAAGACAGGAGAAGTAGAACGCAGTTTATGTCAGTCAGAAGGCCCTCAGATCTAATTGCTTGGAGCAGTTAGGAAAAACGGTCAGATTAGAGCAGTCATGGAGAACTCCTCCCTATTTCTTGGCAGATACTACATCGATGCCTTGGTTTAATATAACAGTACAATGATTAATCAGATATAAGATTGTAAAAATACATTAAAAATGCTGCTTAACAGATGGGCCAACCATGGGATGAACTGTCAGGCAGGGATGGAAACGTAGCATGCATAAAAACAAGACGAGAGCAGGAGAGCTTTATGGCACATCCATGTCATGTTAATTTAGGTCACTACCTTCCAGTTGTCACTAACAAGTTTGGACCTCCAGTCGTTGTCCACYGAGTGGCAGAAAACCAGACACAAGTAGAACCGACTACATGGGGGAAGGCAGGGCTTTCACTGTTCTGCTGAGCATTTAAACACCTCCAAAAACGAGTTGGATCTTAGTGACACAYGGTGTACATGCTATATTACCTTGCTTGATTCTTTTATCATGCTTGCCACTACAACCCTTAAATAAAACATACTAGTTTTCACTATAATAAAAACCTAGGGCCCGCAGGAACCTTCTGTTACTATCTTCTGTAACCTTCTGTAACCTTCTGTCTTCTGTTACCTTCTGTAACCTTCTGTTACTATCAACTGTCATGTTCTGAAGCAAGTTTGGAGGGCACAGGCACCTGGGAAGGGGCTCTGGGATCTAACCAAAGCAGGGAAGGAGACGATGGCATATACATTTAAAGCTTAAGTGATGTCTTCAGGCTCTACCAGATTTGTAAGGAGGAAAAAGACTGGGAGACAAAGCTACAAGAGACTTTCCCTCACCAGTATTTCAGGAACAGTGAAGGTCAAAAGCCGCAGGCACAGCATACAAACAGCTGCTTAACATGACTCATCCAATTTTAAAAATCAATACAGCACCCAATCTCACCCCCAAAATAAATGACACAGTTAAATTTTCTTCTGTTTTTTTTTTTTTTTTTTAAAAAAGAAGAAACTTAAAGCTGGGCATCTCTGTATGGAAACCTGATCCTACAGACGGAAGAATTAATATTTTCACTGTTCCCTGTATTTCTCCTCCCTCTATCTACCCTTATTTTTTAACTTTAGAGAGAGGAGGGAAAAAAAAAAAAAAAGCTTAGAGATACTAAAAAATATTATAATACATTACAGTCCTACAGTCTACCATCTGTAAGTTCTCCACCCTGCCGTCATGCTCTGTCAGTAGGAACAGATGTGATGCTTGTCCTGGCTAGGTCTACAGGACAGCTCAGTCTGCCCTTGTACTACCCATAAATGTCCTGCATCCACATAAAAGAGTCCCTAGCTCTCTGTACTCCATAGAAATTCCCATCCTTTAGCGCTGGAATGACTATTGCTTCTGAGTGTCAGAGGTCTGTACAGGAAAAGGAGCCCAGTCTCTCACCTTTGGTGGCAGCTGCAATTCTCCTTTACACATGGCTTATAGACCTCCACAGCTCTGTTAATTTGGTCAGTTATTGCTTTCCATTTGGCATCTAAAACATGCAGGAAAGAAAAGTCAAAGGAATGGATCTGCTATACTCCCAGAGTAACTAGCGGGAGCTGAACAAGGTTTCTGCTCCTGCTGCCGCCAGGGCAATAGCCACAAACCCCGATCCCACCACACACTAGCAGCTTCCCGCGCAGCTGCAGCACGGCGTGCCGGATACAGAACGTGCTCACGTCGGAGAAGGGACRGGGATGAACTTGTGCTGATTCTGCCGCTCAGCCCCCGCTGACACCATCGTCAGCTCTGTGCCAGTGACTCTTTCAACGCAGACTTTGCCGAGCGCAGGCGCAAAGCCAACCTCAGCTCCCCGGGCAGGCGACAGAGAACCGCGATGACCCAAGCTCCCCGGCCTGGCTCCCTAAGGACACGGAACGGGCCCGCGTCCCCGGCACCAGGAGCCTCCAGCGGCGACACCCCGGCTCAGCCTGCGGGCTCGGCTGATGATGGGGCAGCTTCGCTACAAAGGGGAACCCAGCGCCGGTCCCTCAGCCCGCAGGGAGGCAGGGAAGGGTCGGGCCTTTCCTGCCCTGGGCGCCGCGCCGTTAGGCTAACGGTCAACGGTTAACGGTCAACGGCCGCTCTCCCACCGCACGGTAGCGTACTGGACGCCGCCGCGAGACCCCGGCTCGCGCCCACCGCTCCTCCCGGCTCGCTCACCTGCCGGGCCGCCCGCCGCCGCCGCGGGCACCGGCCACCACACGGCGGCCGCCGCCGCCAGCGCCCACACGGCCGCGCGCCCCATGCTGCCGCCAGCGCCGCCGCGCGCATGCGCGCCCCGCCACGGGCGGAGGCGGCGAGAGACGCCGCGCCCCGCACAAAGATGGCGGCGCCCCGCTCAAAGATGGCGGCGGGGAGGTGGTGCCGCAGGGGCTGGTGGGGGTTGTAGTTCCACGCGGGCCGCGCTCCCAYGCGGGGCTTCCTGCTCTCCCTGCTTGAGGGGAAGTTGAAACAGCTCTACGGAGGAGCGTGAACGTGGGTTTTACCCAGAATGGGTCTGGCACGAGCTGTTTTACCAGCCACCTTTGCTAGTCCTCGTTGCCTTGTACTCCTGGGCTTCCCGAGTGAAGAGTAAAATCAACCTTCTCTACGTGGTGCTGCTTGGGTCTGTCTGCAAGAGCTCCCAAAAGCAAGAAGCCCCCATCTGCTGCTGCTGTGGAGCCTAACTCAGTTTGATCGCCTGAGATTAAGTCTCGAATCTTATGGTGTAAAAATTGAGGCTGACTTGTGCAAACCTTCCTGCAGCTTCAGGAATGTGGATGTTAAGGAGAGAGGGAAATGAYGTTGAAGAATGCAGTTAATAGTCAGCTTAGCCATATGAAGCCARTCTTCAGGAGGCAGGCTCATTAATACAGCCTGAATGTGATAACCATGCTGATAAGCAGCCAGATAAAGCAAGTAGGAATTTTGGGGCTATGCTGATGCTATCCTAACAACAGTCCAGACCATTTGATCAATGTGTCCTCCCTCAGTTGAGTGTGACATGGACCACCTCTCTTCCTGGGGTCMGCGTATTCAAAGATGAACACCAAACTTTCATCTTTTGTAGCCCAGATCCATATACTGGATTTCGGATTCTCGGACGAAGCTGTGTAGTGACTCAAACATTTACATTAAGTTTGTCCCTGAACATAGCAGGAAGGCTAAAGGACTAACCGCACAAGCCACCAATTAAATTCGCCCTGAACACCTCTTGTATGAGACTGAAGGGGTTTTGTAGGCATCCTTAGGTTTGGGTGGAGAAACAGTTCCCAGAACGTGGGCCAAAGAGGAAAATATGTGCTGAGACTTTCCTGAAAACTGGCAAATTATGGCAATTGGTACTTCTGTTAATCTACAAAAGCTGGTAGCTTAGGGCCCCAAGTATCTGCTGAATCTGTGCAAGGCCACAAGTCAACACTAGCGTCAACAGTGGTGGGTTGTGCGACTAGAGGGCATGGGTTTCTGTATGCAGAAAAGACAGGAGGATTATACATGCATCTGTTGAAATAAATGAGTTTGAGGGACTTTCCAAACACCTACCTAAAAGCTGCTAATGTGTCAGCGCAACCCACTAAGTATATACAGCTGGCGTTGGCCACTCAACTGTTGCTCCAGCTGGGTAACCGAATGAACTATGTGAGTAAGTGAATGTGTTGTGGGTAGTTATCTGCTATTAGTAGTAACAGCTTCCTACAGCAAAAATCTGGAGTATTTCTGTCTCGTATTTTCATCTTAAACTCGTGTTGCACGGCCAACAAATTTTTCAACAAATTGAGGGATGAATCCCTTCTTTCCAACTTCTGCTAGAATCCTTCTGTCTTCCTATTGCTTTCTACACAGGATCTAGTTTCCTTATCTTCTACAGCCTGTCACTTCTGTAGTTGCAATAGTAATAGATCCAAAACTGGAGGCTGGTCTGAAAACTTTGCCAAAAGTATGAACTAAAGTAGCAAAAATCAAAAGTGGCTGATAGGCTTGATATATTTGCTTGCCTCACTCAGCCCTAGTTGTTTCTACAAACCCAATACACCCATTATTTCTAGTATTAGTTTCTAGTATTAGTTTCTGTCTTCCCCTTGAAGTTCCAGACTAGATTTTCTTGCTCTTTTCCTACTCACCAAACAGACACCAGTGTGCTGTTCCAACACTGTTTCTGGTTGTTTCCCACAGCTCCCTGCTAGTCCGTTTGCACAGCCATCAGAACCGCAGTAGTTTGCTCAGTAGCAAAGGTTATTTCGGGTGCTTTCTCCGAGGCAAGGAGTAGGAGTGGTAGTCAGCATAAATGTTTAATAGGCCCTGAGAGCTAAGACTTTAAGATGAGGCTCCTTTTGAAGCTGCATTTACAGCCTCTGCTCTCCCAGGCTTTGTATAATGAAAGCACCCCAGGCCACTGTGGTGTGGTTTTGGAATGTGCTGTAGTTTCCCCCGAGCGTCTTGGATGGCTCTAAGTTTCGAACCCCTTGACTCTCACTTCAAACACACCCTTTGCCTCACCTTCTCTACCTGCTTAATTTCCTGCAAATCCAGAGCTCTGTGAAGGAGCAATTGGCTCTGATCTTTGATACCCTCCCTCAAACACTGTCCTTCCCTCATGTTTTTTCCTGCCAAATCAAGCGCAAACACCCACAAACTGGCTTTCATCATGTTCCATCTGCCTGCAGTGGAAAATCACTTGGCTGCAAGTCTGGTGTCCTTGCTTTACATATTCAACATAGGTTAGAAGAAGGGTGCTTGGGAAAGAGTTTGGTTCTCTGAGATGGTTATAAGACTGAGCTAAAGACAGTGTTTTGCTTTCCAGATCTTGAGTTTCTCCCAGAAGTGTAGTTTCATTTTTCTGCTAGTTGTTACTGTCTGCTTGTGTAGGGGTGCTGGTATGCTTTTTCCTCCCTTAATCCATCCTTTTGTGCTAAACACAAAAGAAGTTCTAAATTTTCTGAACTCAATGGCAATTTTCTTTCTTAAGCCCCATTCTCTTCTCCAAGTACTTTTGAGATGGCAACATGTTACCAGGCTCCATAGCTCATTAGCTGAGACAAGTTCCATCACTGCCACCTCTTACCTTCTTTTTGGAGTGTGAACCTTTTAATCTATTTTCCTCCTTCCTCCTGTGCTATCAAATGGTGTGCTGTAAGAGCATGTTTGAGCTCCACCATCTGGACCTTGTACCTTAAAAAGGTTGTTTCATTGCTTGATTGGAACTGTCTGTATTATATGCTGGTTTATGCTGTGTCTTGCAAGCAGTTAGTGTACTGATGTTGAACAAAGAAGAGTTTTGTTTAATGCTTGGGTTTTTGACAATATGAAACATGGACTAGAGAATACCCTGAGTGAAGGATGGGTGCCCTACCTGCACTCGCTTCAGAAACATTGAAGCCATGGAAGGTTTAGGTGCAGGAAAAAAAAAAAAGCGATAGCAAGACGGGAAATAACCGGGAATAAAGCTTCTAATGGCTGTGAAGCTGGCGGTCTATGGGTCTTCAGACATCTTTGTGTTTGATCATCTGTAGAGCTAGGCTAGTGCAGAGGGCAGTCTCAACGCCAAGTTGTGCAAGGGAGGAAGGAAATTATAGAGGCGATTGAAGTTCAAAACTTGGCTGACGTTACCAAGGCTTCTTGGGAATGAACCCAGTCCTTTCCATATGAAGCTGCATTGTTTCTAGAGAGTTAAGACCATTTCTGTCTAAACACCACTCAAGATGCTTCTCTTCCTCTTGGGTTGTGAAATTTGTGTCCTGTAACCCTTAGCCCTGTGGAGGTATTGGACTGTGGCTGGAAGGTTCAGGAAAGTGGCCACATCCAAAGTACCTACCTCAGGGGTATTCAGTATTGAGTGTCCTTTTATTTTAAGAAAAGGAGGCTAATTGAGACTGTTACAGTGACAGGAGTGCTAAAAAAGTACCGTTTTAAGAGTACCAGAATGACAACCAGAAAGAGTCATGAGCTATCACTAGAAATCCAGTCTTGTAGTTCTGCAGAGCCTGCAGAAATACTGGACAAGGAAGAAACAAGTCCAGCAGGACCCAGAGCTAACTCTTGATGAGGTCCCATCTGAGACTGTCCAATGAAGGAAGTCATCCAGCTGAGTGTAAATGTTTGAAGATGGGCAGGACTGGAAGCAGTGGAGGATCTAAGAAAAAAAAAATGGAGCAAGGCACCTACAGCTCAAGCCCAAAGTCCAGGTTCAAGGACTTGCATATGCTGAGGGAACAACACAAACCAGCGATATCTGGTGTTTGAGAAAAGATGCAAGAATTGTACTAGTTTCCTTCTTGGAGGAATTCATATTGGCCACGGGATGCTTGTGCTCATGACAGCGATGTCTGCACTTTGGAGACTTCTTCATAATAGCAACATAGTGTAGCAGCCCCCAAAAGGAAATAGGATACATTTTTAGTGTAAACAGGGATTTGCAAGTACCTATATAAATGTGGAGTCAGGAGTAATATTCATGTTTATGTTGCCAAAGAGGGAACAAGCAAAATCTTCTATTCTTTGAAGAAA